GGATGGATGGATGAATGATAATAGATGGATGGATGGATGGATGGATGGATGGATGGATGATAATAGATGGATGGATGGATGGATGAATGATAATAGATGGATGGTTGGATGGATGATAATAGATGGATGGATGGATGAATGATAATAGATGGATGGATGGATGGATGGATGGATGGATGGATGATAATAGATGGATGGATGGATGAATGATAATAGATGGATGGATGGTTGGATGGATGGATGGATGATAATAGATGGATGGATGGATGGATGATAATAGATGGATGGATGGATGAATGATAATAGATGGATGGATGGATGGATGGATGGATGGATGGATGATAATAGATGGATGGATGGATGAATGATAATAGATGGATGGATGGATGGATGGATGGATGGATGGATGGATGGATGGATGGATGGATGGATGATAATAGATGGATGGATGGATGGATGGATGGATGGATGGAAAACTTGAAAAGTTCACCAACTTTCAAAAAGTTAGTGAACTTTATTTTTTGACAAATTTAACATATTATTGAAGGGTAATTAATGTTCACCTGGTTTAACGTATTTAGGGTTAAAATTTTTATTTAAAGATACATTATAAATAAGATATTATGAAGTTATTTGATATCAGTTAATTTTGTGCAATTTGGTGAATTTTTTTGTTTCACACAAAAAGGCCTAACATTTACAATGTTATAATTTTATTGTTTAATATAAGTCAAGCAACATGAAATGATGTAAAGTAAATGTTACTTTTGAAAAACTTTCACCTCATTAAAAGGCCCTAAAAGGCCTTTTTAAATTACTAGTTTGAATTAGATATGCTCTAATTATAATTTCATTATGGAAGTACAGTTTATCATATGTGTATTCAAGAAGAGCTCAGAAAATATTTCTCAAATAATTTTAAGTTATGTAAATCAGAGTACAAAAGGGGAGCAGCGATGAACTGTAATTTTATTTTTCTGTACTTTGATCTGACTGCGTTTTTGCACGTTTTAGTAATGGAGTCAGGGAACTAAGTATTGAATCCACTGTAATGTTTAGTTCTTATACAGCAGGGGGAGTGGTGGCCTAGTGGTTAAGGCACAGAGCTTGGAACCTTGATGTTCTGAGTTGCTTTTTGTATCTCTGCTTCTCTCTCCTTGAACCCCAGTCTGCCTCGGCAGATGGCCGCTCACACTGATCCTGGTTCTGCTGGAGGTTTCTTCCTGTTAAAAGGGAGTTTTTCTTCTACACTGTCGCTACAAGCATGCTTAGTGTGAGGGATTGCATTTGAGTCAATGAGTCGACGCAATCAACTGGTTTTCCTTAGATAGAAAACTTTGAATCAGTTTGACTGTTTGATCTGGTTGAACTGTAAAGTACCTTGAGATGACATGTGTGGTGAATTGGCGCTATAGAAATAAACTGAATTAAATTGAATCAAATTGACTGCCACTCTGGCTCTCTGAGCAAGACCCTTAACCCCACACTGCTCCCCGGGCGCCCCACGATAGAAGCCCACTGCTTTAAGGAACCTTTCGTATAAATTTAATTGCTGAGTGAACGAAACTATTAGGAGAATAATCTTTTTGTTGAATAAAATTAAATATATAGTACAGTAAAATATACATATATATTTTGGAAACATTGGTATGAATGAATCTCAAAGAGACAGGGGTCTGTCTGTCTGTCACCTTTTTTATATGCCTGTTAATAAACTAATCTTATCCTATCTGTAATCTACGACAATTCCCTCTCCTTACCGATAGATGGCGCTAAGATTTACTGACCAACCCAAGAAGAAAGGCTGGAACTTTTGTAAGTGGAACCTTGTTTCTACTCGGACTCATACAATTACGCACCGAATGCGTGTTGTGTTCTCCAGAGCTTTCCATGCTGGTTGTATATGTGAAATAAGTCTGATCAGCATCAACTGAAGCGATTTTTCTTTTTTTTTTCTTTTTAAGTGAAGTGTGTGTCTAGCGGTTGTTGTCGAAGGGGGGGAGAATAAAAAAACAGAACCTGTTCTGGTGGTGACTAAGGACCCAACATGAAGATCAAACGGCAGAAACAAGCGAAGAAAACAATCAGCTTCTATAAATACAATTTCAGCTTCAGAGAACCTTTTCAAATCCTTATTGACGGAACTTTCTGCCAGGCGGCGCTGAAGAACAAGATCCAGATCAAGGAACAGATGCCCAAATATCTGATGGGAGAAGTCCAGCTCTGCACTACAAAGTAAAATCTTTTATTTGTATCTTCTATCTTAATCCATCTAATTTGATGGAGGTTTTTTTATTATTATTATTATTATTATTTATAATTCTGTTCCTCTGTTTCATCCTTAGTTGTGCTTTGAAGGAGCTTGAGACTATCGGGAAGCAGCTCTATGGAGCTAAAATCATCCTGCAGAGGTTTCAGGTTAGGAAATGTGCACATTTTAAAAACCCAATCCCAGCCTCTGAGTGCCTGCTGTCAATGCTGGAGGAGACTAATCCACACCACTACTTTGTTGCCACACAGGTGAGCCCTAACACTATTGGGCACTCTATACATCTCTGTTTATTATATGCTTATCCAAAGTATCTAAGCCCTTGAACATGCAAACTGTTGTCACGTTTCAACAACAAACACTGGTATACATTTTTTTCTCTACAAACCTAAATGGCAAGAATTCCATACTGTATTAAACCCAATTTACTCTGATACCTTTAAATAAAATCCTGTTCTTTCTGAAGTTGTAATACAGTTGACCTTTGGATGTTTTATCTCAATGCATATCCCTCTGTTCTATGAAGGTTTTGGAGGTTTATTAGAGAACAATAATCAAACTGCATAGTGAAAACCAAGGAGCACAACAAATGGTCCAGGGAGAAAGTAATGGAAAACTTTAAGGCAGGTTAAAGGCAAATATATATAATAGTTTGCAACACACTGGCTGCTGTTTGAAACGGTAAATCAAAGCATAGAGTTTTGATAATTTGCCCCAGTTAAAGTCCAGACCTAAACCAATTTCAGAATCTTTGGCAGAGCCTGAAAAATGATCCTCACAGATGATTTCCTTCTGGATGAGTTGGTTATTTGGGGAAAAAAAGGGGGAATGTTTCAGTCTGTAAATGCCAAAACTGTAATTAGAAAATAAAATCCATGACCCTCTTCATGTGACCGAACAGATTTTAATTCAGCTTGAAATTAGGACTTTATTTCCCATGGGACCAATGTCCCTTATCAAAAAGATTACCTTTGTTTGTCCATTTCTCTGCAGGACCGTACAGTAACTGAAGGACTTAAAAAAATCCCAGGCGTCCCTTTGCTGTACATCGTTCTTAACACCATTGTGCTGGACAAGCCCAGCCAGAAGTCCCTCGATTACGTCCAGGCCGTTCAGCTGGGGGAGCTGGTGACCCCCACCCAGCAGGACAGCATCCGTAGCCTAAAGGAGAAGGAAGGCATTAGCCTCAAAGATGGAGAGAGGCGGGGTAAAAAGAGGAAGAGGAAAAGCAACAATCCAAACCCTCTGAGCTGCCTGAAGAAGAAAAAGAAAGGACAACCGACACCGCAGAAGAAAACAGAACCAGGGGAGAAGAGGAAAAGAAGTCGACACAAGAGAAGAAAAGCAGCTGCAGGGGACAACATGGCTGCTCCTGCAGTTTCAAATACTCAGTTGGACAAATAATTATGTCGTTTCCAGAACAAGTGATATTTTTAACTCTTTGCCTCCAAGGAACCAGACTTTCTTATTCCATTTTAAAATGGTTTATATTAATATGTCATTAATTCAAGATCCCTTTAGGGCTGTTTAATATCAGGAAGAAATTGCATTTACCTCATTTTGCTATGACAATTCCAATTTCAATAAACTTTTAGGGTTTCCTGACTGATCTTTTTCCTCATCATGCCACCACCTCTCTAGCATCTTGGCCACTAAAAATGTGGGCACTGAGGTTCAAACTCCAGGTTAATATAAATTGTTGCCATACATTTGCATGTTTGGATTTGGACTATAATATTCTTCCAAATTTAACTTTAAAGCCGTCCTTTACTATGAAAGTATCGCTGCACTAGATCCACTTAAATAACAGAATAACCTCATGTCTATAATCCACACATACCCACACATATTTGTGAGTTTTCTGTTCTTTCAAGGTAAATTCTTGTAATTTTGTCTTATTTTTACTGAGACTACTGAAGGTTGGATGATGGAAGGATAAAAACTTATGGATTGATGGACTAATTTGTAAGCAATAAATGGGACAGACTTGTTGACAATAAATACCTTTGCTTGATATTTTTTAATTAAAAGCATCAATTACTAAATATTTTTCCAGGCAGAAAAATCGGGAAAATCTCTATTTCTCACACTTGTCATGGTGTTTTATTTTGGAAAAACAAAACAGTTACTGTACCTCAGAGCTGTCTGATTTTTAAAGTGCTTTAAGACAACACCTGCAACACTTGATTTGTCTTTGCATTTTTTTTCAAATGAAATTAAAGCACAAGCTGACATTTTGAAATACACAACGTGCTCAGACATTGGAAAATAATCAGCTGCAGCAGAAGTGCACTAAGGAAAAACAGCAAATTAAGATAATTTGGCTGAAGAGGGAAAATTAGCACACAGTGATACATATATATATATATTATACATTTTTTTAGCTTTTTTTTAGCAAGGCTTTTTTTTTAGAATATAAATTTGCTTCCATGTATAAAATAAGCAATACTTACTCTGCATACAAACAACACTGTATATTACTACCACCAAAAAAACAAAACAAAATCAAAAACAGCAAGACAGTGCTAAATCATTTTCAGCAAAAGACAGGGAGATGAACCACAGCCTTAATATTAAAAGGAAGATGGCATGCAGTTATTCCAGACAACTTATATTTTCATAATCCATAAGAATTATATGTTACTATTCTGTAGTATTTTGAGAACAAATACTTGTGTAACAGAAATAAAATAAAAATCAAACAATCATAGATTACAGTTAAATAATAACACTGCTGCTATATAAGGCCCCTCAGAGCAAAGTTGTCTTTTCTCCTTTCAAACTGCTGTGCTGGAAGCTTAGATTATGTTGAAACGAGGTCCTGGTGTAGCAACAATGTCACTGTATGGCTCCTCTTGGACCAGCTCCACTGCTTGCTGCTTCTTCAGAACCAGGAAACTGTAGAACTTGGCAGCCGCCTGCTTTCTATTGTTGTTCCTACACAGGTCCAACAGGCTGACTGACTGAGCACCAGTTTTGGCCATCACCCTCTGTGGAAAGAGTGAAAGCTGCTGTCACACTGATTCTTCTTTGTAGGTTGGCATATCTCAAATGCTTCTTTCTTGGGGCTCAGCATCAAGTTTTGGTGCAAATTCGATTTCTAAGCGAGTCTGTTACTTCAAGTGTGTATAACGTGTGTGAGGAGGGATGAAGGGTGTAAAGTTGAAGATTTTTATACTTAAAGGAATAGTACACCCAAAACATGATTAGCCTTCATTTTCT